TTAAAAACATCTCCAAGATATGCATAAAGTTTTTTATTTTTTAAAGAAAAACTGTCCAAAGCGGTGATTTTAATGGAATATTCCTTTTCGTATTAACAAAATTATATATTGTCGAACTATTATTGCCTGAAAATATATAATTTTGAAAACAATATTCTTACTGCCGTTTCTACACTTGCCACACACCCACACGTTTTGTGTCAAAAACCAACGTTGGTGGTCATGATCTGCTCATTTCTTTATCAGAACTAAATTACAGTTCAGCAGCAAACTAGTTTTATATCGGCACTTATGGTTATCTGACCTGTTCCCTATTATGGTTAAATCAAATCAATGACACAAAGACAATCCTTAAATATGTGCATTCCCACGAACATACATATAAAAGAAAAACGAACTCGATTCTTATCATTTAAATACAMATTTTACCACACTAACACCAACAATACTAGCAAGGTACGAAATGGTTTCTCATCAATTCCAAGTGTCTGTTTGACGATAATGAGCGTGTAGCACCACAAGAAACCGCATAAGCATTATTGTTGTAGTGCTTTTCCATTACAGGGTTGCTTGATAAGTATTTAAAATGAAAAATATGTATTTCTGTCGGCTTTGTACGTGATTTTTGGTGCTCAAGGTTTTTTGATGCGTTTTTTCTGATCTAAAGTTGAATAAACGTTTATTCTTCTTGTCAAATTGTTATCGGTCAACTAGAATAGAACATGGCGGGGGTTTAATTTTCAAATAGATTTGGTACGGAAACGAATAGCATTTAAAGTAATTTAAGGAGAAATTATAGTCGCCAGAAAAAATCTCTGACAAGAACTGGAAAAATGCTGCCAAGTTGACAGTCCTTGGCCGGAAAAAATGCGGGTACGTTCCGGTTACGAAGATCCGACCGTCGTAGGAACACAGAAGTGCAGCCTATTTCTTGCCTCTTAGTTTCATTTTCTCAACGTCTGGCTTGCAGCCTTCTGTCAGTTAAGTTCTATTTAAAAAAGTTCTTTAGTTCAGAACTTAACTGACTGACAGATGGTTCGTAACCAGACATTTAGAAAACAGGACTTTAATGTGACTTTATAAAAGCGATTTAGATAAACGTATGTATTGTAAATCTGAGAATTCCCAGTAATAACTAGAATGACAATGAAATTCCATCAAATACCATTTTCCAATTTCATGCTTTCACACATAATTATATACGCACACCCACTATAATATATAGACGAATTGCATTAAAAATTTGTTGGTCCAGTATAATCTGCATATGTTTTATTAAACTTTTCGAGTACTATTGTGTCGCTGGCGACGGCGGTCTTTCTCTTTCATCACACGCACACATCACAACTCAAACGAGTATAATTTCTCATTTTCCTGCTGCTATTGTTCGTAGAATCTCAGTTGTTAGAGTTTTTCCCATGCAATAAAACGCCCTGAACAATCAACGATCGAAGGGCGATCAAACGTACACACACACACACACACACACACACGTTTGTTCACAGTGTGGACTTGGTACATTTAAATTTGTAATATCCATACAACGGTGGTAGCCTCCTCCACCTACTGCCTCGTCTTGCATGCATGCGTTCTCGCATTTTCGATAGATCATTAAAAAAATTAAATTAGAAGTGCAATATTAATGAACGAGTGAACGATCGTATGTCGTGGTTGGTCAACCCATGCAGCAGCATCCATTCAATTTAGGTATTTCGTTGCTTCAAGTCAAACTGTTATGGCACATTTTTTGTATTTCATTGATCTTTACCGCAAAGCGGGGAACMCTGCAGGGTTATGCTATGGAAAACTGATCGATGGCTCACGATCTTCGGCTTACAACATTCTATGGTCTTATGCACTTATTCTATGCTGGTGCGCCTGCGCCGCTTGCTACAATATCTACATTCAAATTGAAAGCGCAGCTTGTTAGAGCATTTTTGGTGATTGTTGCTTCATACGCCAGMAGGGCTGTGCYYGATCACATTTGGGTCTGCGCCTGCGCCTGAATATTGAGTGAATTTTTCTTATCTTTTGTTGTTGCTTTCTTTATGCTCTTATGTGTGTTTAGGTGCTGCGTTTGCTTTTGTTGTTGGC